ACTATTTTATATCAACATTTTTATTATAATTGTTTAATATCAAATAGCATCTGATTAAAATGTAAGAAAATTGTGAACTTTGAATTTCTCAACAATAAATTTATTCCAAAGAGCTTAATATACTCTTTTATTCAATTACTCTTCAGTATTGTTACATTTAATATTAAAATTCATAATTGCTAACAGCAGTTAAGGATTAAATTTGTTAAAATGTTCATAATAAACCGTAAGCTATGATTGCTGCTGCCTAATCTAATAAATTGAATTACGGTAGCAGTTCCTTAAAAATGTTTACTGTTCAGATCAGTTATGCAGCATAAGAATCTTTCTTTGTACTCTGGATAATTATCAGTGTTTATGAAATGTCTTGATGAGCAGTTTTGACTGTTTTCTTTATAGGGCTCGAAGAGAGATCCTTTGCTGTTGGTAAAATCTTTGATGTGGTAGAAAATAGTGTGAACTTTAGCTGTTACGCTTGTATCCATTATTATTAAGTAACATCTTATGAAGTTATCAACTATTTTGGCAAAATACTGCTAAAGGATAAATCCAAAGCAAGCTTTTACAACTAAATTGAAACTTTTGTATGCTTCAAATAAGTAAAAAATGTTGAGAACCGAGTTTGTATCAGCAAGTTTCTGGAGCACTTCCATATTTTTAAGAAGCTTTCTGCATTTATTTCTCTTGAGCTGGCATTTTTTTTATTGTACATTTACAAGTGCTAGAATGGTCAATTTTGAAGCACTTAATAGTCGCTAGGCAATAATTGGACCTGAAACCAAAATATACATATTTTATCTTTATATTAAACTTTGTTCAGAAAGTTTGTTTAAAACTTACAAATAATTCGTTTTTAAATTGATTACATTAATTTAAAAACATTAATTGAATTATACTTGTTAAAAGTATAATTCCCAAGACCTTTCTTGTCTTTATTTTTAAATATTTTCTTTGAATATATATGTAAAAAAATTTTTAAATATAAACATTTACCTGGTGTATTTATAAGTGAAGGCTCATAAGAAGCTTTAGTAAGTCAAGCTACTCGACTTGAAGGAGTAATTTTTCATTGGAATCAACTCGACATGCCATTTGTTTTTCTTTGCTAGCATCTTTTGCTAAAGGTTTTCCATAAATTTCATTTGAGAACATTAGTGGGGCAAACCTTTTCCTAAAAGGCAGAGGCATATACTGCAAAACTTGGTTCTCTCTCAATGGTTGTTTGCTCTTTAAGAGGATGTTTTTTTTGCTAATTTTAACAACCAATTTTGTATATTAGGCAATAACACACTATGCTTCTTGTTTCAGATCTCACTTGTATTGAATTGAAATTAAAAAAAGGACATAGTATGGCTTCTTTACCTTCTTGATTTCGGCGCAATATTGTTCTACACAATATGCAGTGTCCTTGTTGTACCCGATAAACACTGAAATTGATCTTTGTCTCGTAAAGTTGGTATATTCAATCTATTTGAAAAGCAGTAAGTTGTCTTAAACATTTTTTCAGACAGAGAAAGCACTCAAATTTTTGATTTTCATTGTGAACTTTTGCTTGATTTAGAATTGTGGAAGTTCACTAAATCCAACTTCAATTTAGCTTGAATTTATATTGGATAACAATCCATTAACATACCTTCAACTATTATAAATTACAAGCGATTAAAGTCGAGAAATTAATTACTTAAATTTGCAACAAACTAATATTACATAAACGTTTCTTTTAAAAAAAACTATTTTAATTAATGAAACTTGTCATACTTATTGACAATAAGATTTTATTTGATGATTTTTATAAAAGATTCTTATTGCTCTTTAAAGGACTATTCTCCCCTTAATATAATTTGTCTATTATTTTAGTTATCCTATCTAAGTTATGCTTTTTTAATGTTGGATCTTTGTAAAAGCTTTTCAACCATTTTTTGATATTTTCATGCATTTTTACAGTAGTTTATACCTTTAAAAAATGGTGGTATTTTCACGCAATGCCTAAGTCAAACCACGTTTTAAATAGAAAATCAATATTTTGGTTTATAAAATGAAAATGGTAGTTGTAGCAACAAAACAGTGATAACAAAAATTGTTGGTATTACATAGTAGAACACTCATGTCCCTGCGGGCATTTCATTTAAAAGTTACGTTCTAAATGTGTTTTAAACGTTCTTTTCGTAAGAATGTTTAGAAGACGTTTAAAAGACATTTTAAATACATTTAGAACGTAACTTTTAAAAACAAATGCCCGTTGGGGTAACCATTATTTTAAAAATAGTGACCCAATATCACAATAATCGGTAACGTTTTGAGGTAAAATAGCAAAAAAATAACAAAGTATAAATTAATCTAAATTCTATCCAATGTTTGGTGTGGCCATTTGCTACATTTGCACCAATTTTTATCAAATTATATTTAGTGGTTATCATTCAACAGATGTTTTTATTGTCACACTAAAAAGTCAAAATTTCGCTTGATTTAAACATTCAAATTAAATTATTTTCCGCGGAAAAATTATAAGATTTCAGAGTTTGCATCACAGCATACCTTGCTGTTTATGCTATCACCCAATATAAGTGGCGTTCTTGGAACAGTTAGATTTGCATTATCAGGATCCGTGCGAACCGTGACTAAGCTTTTACATGGTTTGTTCTGGCAAAACCTAAGATGCCCGAGTTTATCTTAGATTTGCTAGTAGTTTTTACTTTTTAAACCAACTAAATTTTTTTTTATATTAAAAAAATAATGTTTTAAATAATGTTTTTCATTTTAAAGCATGGAGGTTTGAAGTAAACCAAGATCAACATGGTAGATTAAATGCAGAGAAGAATCATCATAATTTAAAAGCCCATTTTAAACTCCTTCAATTCAATCGCTTGAAGTTTACAATGCTCATAAACCTCAAACTCGTCAGTTTCATCTTTGGATATATATATATATATATATATATATATATATATATATATATATATATATATATATATATATATATATATATATATATATATATATATATATATATATATATATATATATATATATATATATATATATATATATATATATATATATATCATATTCCCTTATCTTGAAATATGATGCCATGTAAACTTTAAATAAGCGATATCAAAAAGTTTTTTTCTAAAATATATATATAAGTTCATAGTAAAAATGACTGAAGGGCAAATGGATGAGATAAAAATATCATGTAATTTCTGATTACGAGCATATGAATTTGGAAACAATTTAGATTAAATAAAAGATTTACAGTTTTAGAAAAGAAGGCAAAATAAGTTTTTATTTCGTTTCCAACAGTTTCTAATATAATCTTATATAAATTACTCAAAAAAGTGGCTTAAATAACATAAAGTATAAATAACTTTTTAAAGTATAAATAAAAGTGAGTAAACTATTTTTATTAAAAGTAATAGTTAAAATTGTTTTAGTGTGATTTTAGTTAAAAAATGATATTTTCAACCTAAAATGCAGTGTGCCACACTGACATACATATAATATACATAATTAATTTCAAGACTAGGACCACAAAAATTAATCCTAAAATATTACTTAGTAGATTAGCTTGCAGCAAATATGCCAATAATTAACAACTATCAGTATAATTATTTAAAAAAAATCATACCAAGTACTTAAAACGGTTAGAATCAACTTTAACCAAACCCAAAATTAGTGATTCAGAAACTATCATTGTGTTTAAAGGTAGAAAATACTCCCAAGTTACATTAAAAGCTAATTCACCAGGTTCATAAACGTAATTGATTTGCAGTGAGAGATTTAAAGAATAACTAAAAACATTTTCTTTTATGAAAAATTTAAAAAAAAGAAATTTTAGAAAGTATATTAAAAGTTTTATAATGGTTATGTAACAAATAACTTAAATATAAATATAAATATAAAATATAAATATATACAAGTGTAATGTTGATCAAATAACTTACTTGCTTAATTCTCCATTAAAAACCACGTTTAATTGAGGTTTACAATATAACTGAGTATCTAAAAGCAAGATGTTTTCATTTTTATATTTATTAAAAACACTGTTTTAAGTTAATGAATAATTTAATTTATTCCATTGTCTCTATTTTAAGGGAAAATGTTCATTTTCCAAGAAGTAGTTTTAATGGCGAGGAGTACTTTTGGAGGATTTTAACGGTGTAAATTTAAAAGTGATTATAAAAAAGATAAATAGTAATTCAATGACAAAAAACTACATGCTGTTTTTTAATTTATTTCTTACATAAATTTAGATAACTTCAAAGGAAATTATTTTTTTATTTACTTTCTTACTAATCTCAAAATATTTTTTACAAACCTAGAGGAAAATTATATTACAACAAACAAGATAAAAAGTGCATGAACTCTTAATTATTTTGACTTTCAAAAAAAAATTTTGTTAGTATGGCGTTAAAAAGTGCAGTAAACAAACACTCCAAAGAGGCTGACATAAAAACTAGACAGCTTGAAAAATTCTTTAAAGCTGGTGATTAAAAAACTCCCCTTGATAATGGCTTTCAAGTCATACAAGTAATTTTAACTTCTCAGCTAGGATAAATGCAAGTTTTAACGACGTAACGTTTTTTAGTTAAAAGTATGTTAGATGGTTTTATAAGTTTAAATTAGTGTTCAGCCTACAAGAAGTAAACATAATTTCTAAACAATTTTTGGTCTTCCAATCGCTTAAAGTCAAAATTGATGTTCTCTGGAACAGTATTTCCACAATAGGAAGTAAAGAATGAAAAACAAAATTTGATTTACTGTTAAAAGTGACAAAATTAATTTAATTGTGGAAAACTATCCAAAAAAAAAAACTATTCAAAAAGAAAAACTATCCGAAAAGGACATTTTTCTTTTTGAATAGTTTCGTCTGATGTTCAATTTAAATCTAATGTTATTTTCAAAATAGACGTTTAGTTTCCCCAAACTTTAAAATTCTTTATTATACAAAAATGTATTAGTTTAATCTAGGGTTTGGAGAAAATCAGAGAATTTCAAAAAACCAGTTTTTCGTTTTTTTTAAATTGTGAAATCATTTTGCTGGTTTTGCGCCGGGTTTTTTTCTATTTTAAAATTGAATTTTTATTATAAATGTAAAAGTCCAATGTAATGTGATGAAATTATTTACTGGAAATGGATCAATAGATTAAAGAAACCCCAAAGAAAAATTTAGCGAAATCTTTTATTATTATTATTTTTTTATTAAAACTGATAATAATGATATGATCTTATTGACACGAAGCATTTTTAAATTTTATTTTTAAAGCATGACGCCAAACTGTCGTAGCTTGCCTTTCCTCATGCATATGCGACCTGTAATATATATCAGATATTAATTATTGCAGTTGCTGAATTAAAGATGGCAATGATGAACTTCTGGTGAAATTACTATCTGGTCGACTTGATTTTCCTTCATACCCTCTGTTAGTTATGAATAAGGATCTAGTTGGTTGTGAATATGGAACTAGTTGGTTATGAATATGGAACTAGTTGGTTGTGAATCACTCAATGGATCACTCAATAATCTTTCAATTGCTAACATCGATGCCAACGAGAACATTGAACTTTTTTTTTTGTATTTATAAAAGTTCTCCTTTGCAAGAATTTATGCAATGAAATTAATTCTTTGATAACCCGTTCTGAACTTCTTGTTTTCAAAGAAAATTATGTAAAAATATACTACGATTGAAAATATTTAAAGTAATACCAAAGACTTATACTTAACATTCGAAAACAAATTTGTTGGTAATAAACTTCTTTTTATTTTTAATTGTTCTAATTTGAAATTCTTTTTATTACGTTAATTTAAAAAAATATATATATATTAAAAAGAAAAGTAGACATTATAAGTTATTAGTACTGGTTTTTTCTAGATTTGTTTAATTATTATAAAAGTTATAAAATTAAAGTTTTGTTGAAATATTCTGTTATTCTGTAACATACTTATAATTGATAGAAAAATTTGTTGAAATATTCTGTCATTCTGTAATATACTAATAATTGATAGAAAAATATGTTGAAATATTCTGTCATTCTGTAATATACTAATAATTGATAGAAAAATATGGAATTAAGTACCTTATTAAAGTACTTTTTAAAATTTAGTATATTCACAATATTTGCCTTTTTAATGTCAAATGTCAACTTTTCTAAACAAGAAATTTTACCGGTTTTTGATTTCGAGAAAATTAAAAATAAAAACGGTAAATCGGTTGCGGTTTCTACCGGTTTTCAAGACCTAGTTAAATCTCAAATAGAATTGGCATAAGTAATAACACTAAAGTCTTATTTTTACTTATATTTACTCATAAATACTTATTTTGATTAAAAAATCTAAATTGACAAGTTAGTCAATTTAGATTTTTTAAATCTAAATTGACTAACTTCTATTGTTTATAAATCAAATCGGTCTTCATATAACTTAGTGTTGTTTATAAATCAAATTAGTCTTGAACCTTTAACTATATTTATGCTTACTTTAAGATTTTAATTATAAGCTTTTCATTCAATTTGTGAACAAAAAAATTTCCCTTATAAAACTAACGTTTTTCTTAGTAGCTAACTTAGCGTAGCTTATGATATCAAAAACAACTTTTAAAACATCATTTATCTAATAGAAAATTTATTTTAAGTTTTATTAAGTAAACTACCAATCATTTTAATGCCATTTCTGTTATTCAAACTAAAACAAATTACATACCACATCAGTACAAATCGGTTCAAAAATGACATTGGTTCTCAACCAGTAAAAATTTTTGAAAACGTAAAATAAAAATTGTTAAGCAAGCAGTAAAATGTTCAAAAAGAATATTATTTATATTTTTATTTGACATAGAGTGTTTTGACGTTGTTTTTAAGATATTATATATGTTCACCCTTTTTTACAAGATGGTATGATATAGTGAATAAAATTTTAAAAAGCGCTGTTTCGCGAATGCTGGTAAGTTAATTTTGATAAAATATTTATGATTATTGCTAATGGCTGTTCTGATCTTGTAGATGATTCTTTGTTAAGTATTTTTTTATAACAGATTTTTGCTTCCTCAAATCTTTTATTTCTTTTTAAACTTTTTTTAGCTGCATTTACAAAATTTTTTGAATTGAACTTATCCATAAGCATCCAAACAAATATGCAATTTTTAGTTTGTTCAAACGCATCTTTAATTAAAACCAAAGGATGTCCACCTTAAATTATAGCAATATTTTACCTAAATAACCATAATAATAACAGTAAGAGTAAAAATTACATTGCATAATAACAAGGTATAAAAAACTAGCCGAAAATTTTTAAAAATTGGGGTACATCCATAGTAGCATAGTTTTTACAGTAGCAAGTCAAAATAGTGTTTGGCGTTGAGAAAGAAAAAATTTTGAAATGTAGCTTTGAAAGCTTTAATTGAAGTGGATTACTCTCTTAAAAGTTGACTGAATAAGTTTTTAACAAATGCTCAAACATCAAAAATCAAAAGGTTATCACAACAAAAATCCCTGCCTCGATTGTATGTATAAATACCAAAGTTTTAAAAAATCTCTACTTATCTGTTTTTCCGTTTTGTTACGTTTTTAAAGAGGGTTTTTTTGGCAAGGAACTCATTATAACTCTCTATGATTTTATTTTGCGTTGTAGTATTTTTGTTCAATTTAAAAACAATTAGCTCTCTTTCGAATACAAAGATATAAAAAATCTTTTTCTAAATTTGGCTAAAATACTATTAATTTTAATCTTGAAATTTGTTAGTTCAATTTTAATCTAGAAATTTATTGTTAGTCAATTTGAATAGCAGAAGGTAAAAAAAATTCAATATAAGTAAAAAACGTTAACCGATTTTTTTAAATTTCTTTCTATTATTTGCAATGTCTTGGTTGCTTTCGAGGTTTTGAAACAATATCATTGGATATTAAATTCTTAAAATATACCAAACCGACCGTTTCTAAACTTATCTATTTCACACCAATCATTTCTATATTTATTCCTTATTTACTTCAATGTTTTTACGGTGGAAAACACAGTGCCGAATCTGTAAACATAAATATTTTTATGATATTTTTATATATGTTATGTATATAATATCTATAGAACCTTAAAAGTGTTTTATTTTAAATTTCATATAGATTTTCAAAAAGTGCAAATGGTGGAATTTGAACCACGGCGCTTTGCATCCGAAACGCTACAATCTATTCACTTTGGCTATTTAAGTGAATTCTACTACAAACGTGTTAATAGTTTTTAATGAACAAAAGACTTTTTAAAGCGGCAAACAAATGCTGTAAATCAAAATTAAGGTAATGTTTTTTGCAATGCACTTTTTAAGTAAAAGTTCCACTGTAAAAGTTCCACTGTAAGACTTGATGTGTTTTAACATTAAATAGTTAAAGTTTACATAAGTTATATTTGCATACACTCACGGTTAGCACGAATCCTGATAATGTCAACCTAGCTGACCTCAAAACGTCCTACTATGTAATATCAGCAATTTTTACTATAGCCGTTTTATTGCTACGTTTACCATTTTCATTCTATAGACAAAAAGTATTGATTTGCTGTTTGAAGCGTGGTTTGAATTAGCTTTGCAGAGCGTAATTGCAGAGCGTAAATATCTCAACATTTCCTAAAGTATAAACTACTGTCAAAATGCATGAAAATATTTAAAAATGGTTGAAAAGCTTTTGTAAAAATGCAAACATAAAAAAAAGCATAAAAATTCAGATAAGATAACTAAAATAGCTGGCAAGTAAAAAGTTTTGAGCGCCAGTCAGAAGAAAATTATATGAAAGAGAGAATAGTTTTTTGAAGAGCAGTAAAAATCTTTTGTAGGAATGTGTCATCAAATAATATCTCATCTGAATTGTCAATAAGTAGACAAGTGACATTAATTAATATAATCGAATCCTTTAAAAGAAGGAATTATGTTAGAATTATTTCTTTGTAATTTATGTAATTTTAATTGTTTGTATTTAATAATATTTGTAGGTATGTTAGTGGTAATTAAAATGATTTTATC